CAAAATAATATCGTAATTTGCGATGCAAAATTTAAGAACGTAGACATTCGATTCGCGTTTCTTTTTTTGAACGACACGTGGATATTTTGTTACATTACTAAATACGTATACCGTGCTAAAATAATTTCATACGTATGTCTTTCCTTGCTCAACGTCAATTTAATTTAAGACAGAGGAAAAATGATTGAAACGCGATACGCCTCCGTTCGCGCGGATACGCTTCAACCAACGAAAAGTCACTTAAACTATCTTGTAGGTGTTCTTTATTCTTTGTAAAATCATACAGCATAAGCGACCGTAGTCTACACAGTGTAATTAAGCGAGATACAAGTGACATGATCGTTCAACGATCGGGCAAACGACGACCAGGGTGCCGGTGCATTCGTACGACGTTCACAGACAGAAAAAAATTACTTTTATTCTCTATTTTATTTTATGTTGTTATTATTATAATTATTATTAATATTATTATTATTATTATTATTAATATTATTATTATTAATATCATTATTATTATTATTATTATTATTACTTATTCGGCACACTGCTATCGCATCGTTCGCCCTACGAATACAGACACGCACACACTTGTGAATTCAGGTGGCTCGAAATGCGCAAAGTCTTTCGTTTTAAAAATTTTACCCAAGAATGTCTGTCGTCTCCCGCGATGAGCGCGTAATTCAAAGGAAAGAAACTTAATGATTAACTCTGAAAATACAGACAAATGTAAATACACGTACACCTAAGAAAAAACTAGAATCCTCTGCTGGGTTAATTATCTAAAATATAATATATATATATGTGTATGTACTTTTTTTTTTCTCAATTTTTCTTTTTCCACCTAAACGATTATCAAAGTTGCACTGCCGGCAATTAAATATCGAGCGATGTTCATGGATGAATAATCGAAATGAAAATCGGCATTTGTACAAATAGCTCTGTGGTACGTAAAATTTGATTTCCCTACTATAATATAGGTATATAATATACATATATATTTATATATTATATAATATATATATAATAGCTAATAAATAATCCTTAGTTAATTTTAATTAGTTAAATTCAATTAGTTAAATCCCGCTTTAAATCTGACGGTATCTATCCAACGCTTAAAATATTAAATCACTTATGTATTTTATACGTCGTCCGCAATTTTTCAAAAAGGAAAAGAAACACTCGTCCTCCTCTCTGTTTTATTTCGTTAACCGCTATATTCTTATTTAATAATGATTTACAATTTATGTAAATTTGACATTTTATCAATTGCATTTAAATCGTTATTCGTGGAACAAAATATCGTCGTTCGCGGAAAATTCGATGGAATTCGACGAGATAAATGCAAACGATGATTGAAATGCGCGATTCGAAAGGGTCTACGACGATGAGAATAGATAAAACGCTGCTCGAGGTTTGCAAGAAACGTTTCTGAACTTATAGACTTATAGAATCTAACTTTGGTTTGGTATTTTACATATTTTTTCGGGTCGAAAGGTCTTATGAATTCAAATGCAAAATGTTTTTTTCTTTTTTTTAAATTCTCAGAAATGAAAGGTATAAATTTTTTTTATACATAAATAATTTTTGTAAAATCCAAGATAAAAGAAAACTTATTGAAAAAAACTCTTGAGATGATAGTTTAAAAATATAAATAAATGAAATTCTTGGTCGGGTAATGAAATATACAATTTCTAATAATATTATTTGTTAGTTATTTAAAAGTATTATTACTATTTAATAGATAAAATCATTTTGTTTAAGAAAAAATCTTTGATTTATATTTTATTTTTTAAATTTTACGTCATATAATTAATAGAACATGTAATTTATATAATTATAAATGAAAACGAAACTAAATTAGTTTCAAAATAAACTTTACGAGACCTTTGATCGAAAGTATCAGTAAAAATACTTTACCAAAGTTTAGCATTCCACTTTAAGAATAGAGACATGAGTATTATAGGTAGCTACGTAGGAAACGTGTACACGGAGTTTAATTTCGCGATTGTTTTCTATTCCTGCGAGCGATGTCTTAGTTTCTAAAATAGAAACTATTCAGATAATAACTTTTTATATATAGAATCGATAATAATAATAACAAAGTGACGGTGACAGAATGATTGCTTCGAGGAACGATTTATTTAAGAATCTCTTTTCCCTTACGCGTTAGTTAAAACAAAATGTACGAGGGAAAGTTAATTTTTCGACCAATTTTTATTCATTGTTACATGTAATAATAATATTTCATTTGCAATGTTAATTTATTTGAGCATATCAAAATTAATTCACAAAATTAAAAAAAAAAATATGTATACAATATTTGTATATAATACTTTTTAAAATTTGAGGAAGTTTAGCATAGGAAAAAAGATATTTAAAATTATCTCGATTTTTGATTTTTGCTACTAGTTTTCACGAGAGATACACACCTAAATTTTGCTCGATTCATAGAATTAATTAGTTCAGAAACGAATAAATCTGAGACAAACGAAGAAGAGTCAGGCATAAATTTTCGGGGACGCACGAGTTGAGAATGCCATTTTTAATTGGACCACTATACGTAATATGGTATTCCTCCCTGTCGCAAAAATGTATGTAACATATCTACAAAATATACAAATAATTACGCGAGAAGAAATATCGATGAACTACAGCTGTTCGATCAATTTATAATTAGTAGATTGGATCTAATTAACGTCGAGGAACGCGACTTAAATTAATCGTATTACACGCCTGCTTCTTTGGTCAAGGGACTAAAATACGAGATCCTCAATGACTTTTTAATTAATCGTTGCAAATTATTCGACTTTCTCGCGCTTATCCATCAGTCGAAAAAAATTGATCCACGTACCGGGTAGTTTTGGACGTTGAAATTTTTATAATTAACTTTGTAAGTGTACAACACAATTGAACGAGTAGGACATGATAAAGTCATTCTTTTTAATATAGATAATATAAATGGCACTTATGAAAATAGTTTTAAGATTCTTCTTTTTTTTTCTTTCTTTTTTTTTTTTTTCTTTTTTTTCTTTTGGAAAGAATTTAAAAATTTGCATAATCAAAGTCGAATTAGGTTTTGCTTAGGAATTTTCCTTGGAGCATTTATATTATACATGCGTACGATTTAAAGAATGAAACTTAGGTTAGGATAATTTGTAAATCTATTTCTTATTAATATATATTCTCCAATTCCTTATTAATTTTGATATTCATTATTCGTATTGAACGTATCGTAGGAGATAGGAACACAGTTGCAAAGTGTGAACTGAAAGATATTTATGTAAGGACAAAGAGATTTCCAACGAAATTCTGATATGAGTTAAATTTGATTAAATCCCTATATATAATTTAACATATTTTTCAATCATTATGTTACATGGAATTTTAATTTGATGATTTATTTTTAAAACGTGATTCTTTTCTTCTTCTTTTTTTTTTGTTTTTTTTTTATTTTTTTAATAACAAAACAGTTATTACTTCGTATAACTGTCTTTTCTATGTATTATTACGCGTATCACGTGTTTTATGACGATTGTACAATTATTCAGTACCAAAAATTTCGTTCTGCTTAAAATTAAAAGGTTCGTTCAAATATAGCAACAATATTTCAGACGCGATTTCTTCGAGATTTATTAAACCGCGAAGGATATCATCGTCAAACTGTACAATTTTCCAATATCTCTCTACTTTCTACGTACAATCCATTTGGAAATTCGTCAACTTTTTTTCTTTACACCAAAACTGACAAAAGAGAGCTGAGAGGCGTGTGTTGGTGTTTGGATATGCAAATAAATATACGAGTATCGGTCATCGAGTGTTCGACTCGGTCGATTTTCTCTTTTTGATTAATATTTCGATCTTAAAGTAAAGAAATTTATAGAGGGAACATTTTATTGCAAGATATTATTTTATTGCAAGATATAACAGTTAAATGAAGAAATTTTTTTATATAAACGAAAAAGAAAAACAAAATTAATAAAAAGAAATAAAATAAGATACAACTATACTGATCCTGATTAAGAAATTTAACAATTTGATAGGAATTATCGGAAATAAATTACTTGTTTTAATATAAATGGATTAAATTTATATCTCGGATGAGATTTACGTTTGTTTCAAAAATTAATACATGAAAAATTAATTTTTCATTTCACGTTTGCAAATTCGACTTTGATTCCATTAGATTTTGATCACGTTCTATGTTCTCCCTATATATTCCTTTACTTTAAAATTTTCATTCGACGATTCACGATTCCATTCCGATTTGCAAGATTTATCGTATATGTTCAGAGTTAGCCAGGATGTTAGTTCGTAAAGTTTTCGTGTTCGAACGAAAAACTGGGTTCACCAGTTGTATTTGAAAGAACCGTCATAAGGAACGCGTCGGATATGCTGTTCTTTTTGAATGTGTTAGTTTTCGCGGAGTTCCGTGCGACGACATTTCCTTCGAAATTCCGTCTCTCGCATTTCCATTCACACCATTCACAATCCGGACACAGCTGCGAATTATGCGCGATTCGTTTCGGCGTAACGCTTTGAACAAGCTGAATATTTAAAGACGCATCTACACGAAGAAATAGAGTTTCGCTATTTTTTTCCTTTTTTTTTTTTTTCTTTTTTAATTTGCAATCTTAATTCTCGTCTAACGAACAAACAGTGTTTATTAGAGTTTATGTATATATTTATATATGTAATAATAATAATAATAATAATAATTCATAATATCAATTCATCCCAACAACAAGTTTTAAGGTATCATTTTTTGATAGTATTTCTGTATTTTTCTTTTTATCTCTTTCTCTCTCACTCTCTCTCAGTTCTTTTTCATCCCTTCAATCGTACTTTCTTCCTCGTCAATATATCTCTGTTTTATTATATATTTTATATATATATATTTATTTATTTATTTATTTATTTATTTATTTACTTTGTTTTATATATATATATGTATAGACTGATATCAACACGTATAACATCGAATTCTTCTATTAATCCGTTTCTTTCTTTTAATTCCATTTCGCGGAGAAAAAGTACGGTAGCTGAATGAAAAATCTTTAATAAGTCTTCTATTTTTCTTTCCCTCTTTTAACTAATACGAGTGAAACAACCGGAAACTCGAGATTCGCTCCGATCGTTCATAGTCTTTTTTTTTCTTTTTTTTTTTTTTTTTTTTTTTTCTGTTTTTTAGTTTCGGCGTTTCGATTAGTCTGAACGATTCTCTTTCACATTTCATCCTCTCACCACGACGATTTGTTCTAGGGGGAGGAAACGAAATTTCGAGGCGTTATAATTTGTTCACCTTCGAATACTCAGCTTTTCTCCTCTTCTCTATCCGATCTCTCAACATTTCTCATAGATTTATATTACTATTTTTCGTTTGACGGACACACGTGATCATTATAATTACTTGTACGCACACATAGCTAAGCTCATACTAATCGTGGAATGAAACTGTGTTGTTGTTGTTGTTGTGTCGTTTACTCGTGATCTCTCAAGGGTTTGTTTCTCAAGTTTGGAACACGTGGTTGCAGTTTATCCTTTGCCATCTTATTAAGGAGTTGTGGAACTTTAAAATTAAATTTTTCTTATATATATGTATATTAAAATTGTCATTACGTTAGCTATAGGAGTTGTTAATCCGTTCTTGCTTGATATCGATTAATATAAAATTGCAAAAGGTTAAACTGAATTACGCTTAGATAGGAAACAAAATACGAATCCGAAGGTAATCTCGAAAGAGATGCACTATTGCGACATGGTGCATTGACACAGATGATTCTATATAATATATATATGTATAGATATATTATATATATATAGCACTGTACAGTCGTTAAAAAAAAGTTTCTGAATGAGTATTTTGCGCAGTCTGCTCGAAAGAATTCTCGCGAACTAAAGACTATTTGTTTCATCTTATAATTCTCTAATTTGTTCAATTCTCTTCTTGGATTTGTACAACAATTCTTTTTAATATCCATAAAGCTATAAATTTAAATTTAAATGAAAAGATATATTTGTTTATAATTGAAATGAAATTAATTAAGTAACAAGAAAGTTTTTTTTTCCTTATTTCGATTCAAATTTCATTTGGTAACGAAAAATAAATTCGTCTTCGATATCTCTCCCCAAACCGTGAAAATTCGTTCAAACAGTCTGCAGAATGTCGGAATGTGATCGAGTCACTTCTCTACTGGGTAATGCTTTCGCTTCTTTCAACGATAATTGTACAAAAACTCGTTTGCAAGCGCGTTGAGCTTGCAATGAGACGTCGTGGCAGTATTATCAGTAAGTAGACAGTGTATTACGATATGATACAGAGAGCAAGTGTATTTAGAAATCACATCTAAGGCGCGAAACCACGCGTCGAGGATCAACAACGTTGCCTTTGTTAATCGTCGTTTCTCAATTTCGTTCGAATAGAGAGGATATTTAAGGACGAGTTTTGCTTTTACCTACACTTATGTACATCGATATCGAACCGCGCACAGTTTTCCGGTTGATTCTCCATAATTGGCGTTCGCGTGCGCCTCGCCGCGCGATTCTTCGGCCAACAGAAATGAACGCTCGCACGTACATACACACAGAACTATAGCGTATCAATGAAATCGAAGTACCATAATTAGGCGAGACGTATAGTTGTACGAAAATGTTTACGGCCTGAATGGCGCCCGGTCTGAACCGACAAGGGACGTATTAGTAGGTTAGTTAATATATTTATCCTTTACACGTGTGTTTCTGCTAAAATATCGGTATATCGAAAGGATATGGATCCTCGTGTGATAAACTTTCGTGTGATCGATTAATCCTAGGTCGTTCAGAAAAGAGGAACGCCGCCAGCTTTTTGCTAACTGAATCGTAATTAATTTACACGAAATCGTAAGCTCGAATGAAAAACGAATTTCTATTCTTTGTCAGCGTAACGAGAAATACGGCATAACATAGTGCACTAGAAAACGCCAACCCTTGCCCTTGTACTCGAAGAGGTTCCCCGAAATCTCTTTATTCTCGCGCTCTTCTCGCTCGTTAAAAGTTTCTCTAAATTATTTACTTGAATTGGTACGGTTAATTAATCATTTGGTACGATCAATGGCGTCTCTCCAACTCGCGAAATACTTGTCTTGTAACGCGTCGTTCGTTAAATGGTCGTTAAATGTCTTTCTTTTTTTTTTCCCCCTCCTTTTTCTCTCGTGCAAGATCCTCGAGGAACTCCTCGTGGTCGCGCATAAGACACCCGATAATTCCTATCGATACGATAAAACTTTCAAATCAAGAGAATCTCTATCGTTACGTAATATATAACACCTGCACGTGTTCTCGTAGCGAACCATTTTACTGACGACAATAATTCGAAATTGCTAAATAGTACGTTTCTCTTTTTAAGCTTCGCCCACGTTTCTTAACAGATCGGTTGGCTCTTGCCTGATCGGGATAGAAATCACAATATCCTCTCTTTTATAGCGATCATGTCCAAGAGCCTCGACCTTTTTTAATTTAATTCTCATTCAGAATCGTCCCCGATCCGTCGATCGTGCCTCGATTTCTTCTCAGGGAACACATTTATTTCTTAAGGGATGCTTTGTCATTTCTCTCTTTCGCTCTCTCTCTCTCTCTCTCTCTCTCTCTCTCTCTCTCTCTCTCTCTCTCTCTCTCTGTGTCTCTATTAAAAGGGAGGCAAAAGCAAAAACCCTCGAACACAGTTTACGCAGTGTCACAACGGAGATCACGGAGATCACTCTGACCCCGGAATTGGCGATACAAGCAGCGGTCAGGATCGGTTTTTTTAAAGGGTTGGACCCTGACGAAAGCTCGTCCCAAACGGATATTTCTCAAAGTTCGAACCCGGATCTCGCGCACTACGCTCTCTCGGACGAGGACGATCGGAGACGGTCCCGAAAATAAATTCCTAGGTGCACCTATGACAGACTCCTTAACGTAGAGGTACGTCCTTAAAGCAGCCACTTGGCCACCAGGATCATGATCAAATGCGATGCCAGGCAGGTGGCGGACGCTGTTCCGGTCACCCTCACGTCACTGTCCTTCAACAACACCGCGTCGATCACGTGGATGATGCCGTTGGTGCACTCGACGTCCGGACGATACACCCGAATCCAGTTGCCCTCCCACTCGATCTGGTAAACTGTAAAGAAAAACGAGTTTCGATCGATAAGTCGGTAACGGTGATGGAGGAGGAGGCATTGCGTATCGATTTGAAACGATCCGATGGATCGGATGAGAACGAAGCGAGTTGCCATGTTTTTTTGCAGCGGATAGACAGATTCCAGTGAGCATGTTCACTTGTCGAGCATGAAAGAGTCGGATGAGACACTAAATTGCGATTGAAATATCGAGTTCTGGGTCTACGGAACACATAGACGCAAAATGCATGTAGCGAGTATTCGTATGCTTGGTTACATTATTCGTTTTCTGTTTTTAATGATCGATGATTTTTCGTTTAATGTTTCAGTTTGTCGTGGATGGAAAAATCTCGCGGGTTTTTGTAGTAGTTGAACTAAATATGTATCATTGGGAAAGTTGAGAATGGTGGGCGTCAATATCCGAATAATTTGAATGAGAAAATTTTATGGATAATCTTTAGAGAAATAAAAAATCATCATTTAATGGTTCGAATCTTGACGAGGCTATATGTATGATGTGCAAATATATTGTATTTCAATTATTGTATATCATGTAAGTATAGTAGTTGTTAGTTTATCAAATAAACGGTAATAGCTTATAATATTTCATTTGTCAATTGTCTAAAGGTTTGAGAAGCGCAATAGAAACTTTTATGACGAACCTTTTCAAATTTCAATAAGTCTATAATTATGCATATATTCAAGTAATGATATCAAAATATCAACAGAAGCAGAGAAATTAATTTAAAATGACGTGAAAACGAGCTATCCGAGGAATGAGATAATCTGGCTGACGATTCTTTCGTAAGAATTAGAAATTATAAAAAAAGTATATATAATTATTTTCTCCTTCTTTTAATTATTTCTTTCGATATTAATAATAAAATATTTCCATTTCAACCCCCTAGTTTATTCATTAATCGCAAGGGGATAACGTTAATCGAAAACAGAAAACACTTTGACGATTCACAATTCGTGGCCAAGAGAATGACCGAACGAACACGTGGCAATTAGCACCAGGAGTAATCAAGGAATTTGCATTTAAATGGTGGTCGAAAGGTGCATAATAAATCGTCTTGCGGTCTCCGACCATAATTGTGCACGTTCTTCGGTCTCCGCTTGCCGAGAGTGGCCGGAAGCCGCCAAATTACCGTGTATCGAAACCAAATTGCACCCCAACGAGCCATTTCCTTTTTTTTCTATTATTTCATGTTCGTTATTGAATGTGAAATTTATCGATCGTGTAATTGTAGAAAGAGTATATTTTGTATATTAGAGAAGAAATTTATAATTTATATAATTAATACATCAATAGTGCTATTATTTTTTTTTTTATAAAATTAAAGGAAAATTATAAAACGATTTATTTAAATTAATTTTTCTCGCTTAAAATTAATCGAGTAGTAATAAAAAAAAATTTATGTTTTATCGCGTTTATCACGTTTCAGATGTTTATATAATTGGCTTGTTATTGATAAATTATTTTTAATAATAACATTATAGAAAAACATAATTAGATAAATTTCGAAAAAATTAATAATAATAATCTTTCTACAATTAAATGATTGTTGTAACAATAGAATATTTCTGATATCGGTATGTATTTGACTAAAATTTTTCAATATATCATATTTTTAATCGTAATAATTTTAATTATAGGAATTTTTTTCAAATGAATCTGTCGAGAGTCGAATTTGATCGCTTTGAAACAACGAAGAAAGCTCACGGTAAATATATCGTGTAAATTAAAAACGTCGATAGATAACTAGAATTGAGGACAATTTACAGGTATTCATATCGTTCTGTTTTCACGTTCGTCTCGACCATTTATCGTCACGAAAGGAAATGGCAGCCAATATATTTCGCGCGTAATCGTTCGCATTTATCTGAAACTTTTCCGAAACTTTTTCTCATTTCATTGCATTTTTTTCGTATGAAATAGATATCGTATAATAGAAACGTCTAAAGTGATATCCAAATAGCAGGACAATGAACGAATCGTAATTTTTTCAAAATTATTTTTTTTATGATTTCTTGTCTTAATTTTTAAACAAAAAGAATAGAATTATTTTAATCACTACTTTGAAAAAACAAAGCAAAATTGACACGTAAAAATTTGTTGTAAAGAAAAAAAGATTAGAAAAGATATCTAGGTTGAAAAATTCCACTAATTCGTTAGTTTCTGAGGCCATTTATATCTATATAATTCCTATTATTTCTATTATTTTTTTTATTCTCTCTCATCTTGTAAAAATTTTTTCAGATCTCAATTTTTCTTAAAAGTAAAAAAAGAAGGAAAATGATTTATGATATTTGATCATTCCAATAAGTGTTTAATCACCGTTCATAAAATAAAATAGAATTCGATATTAAAGCTTTTTATATCTTGAATGTTAGTATAAAGGAAAACGACGACGACGACGACGACGACAAGCACACGACTGCATGACCAGACGTAATCGTGTTAAAACCTAGTCTTGCGTTTTACTGTAACAAGCTTAATTGATTCGTTGAAGCGAGCAACAAGCAGAACATATACGCCATGTATCGATTGTTTTTGCAAAATCAAAAGAATACTCACCGTGCAATTGCTCGAATATATAATTAATATGTTATGATATATGAAAAAATCTGTAAAACTTATCACGTTAAATTGATATTAATCTCGAAATACAAGGAACTATTGTCCCTAATAAATGATGAGAATGAAGATTACAGAAAAATTGAATGAAATCGAGCATCTAACGAATAGTGAAAATATTTCAAAATTATTCTTTCCCCTTCTACTAATGAATTTCCATATCTGTATTTTCTTTTTATTTGAAATATTAGAAAAAAAAGCACAGGCTCTCTCTTTATTTCCAATTTTTTCTTTCTATAAATTTAACATTAAAACTTTTGTGATTTGTAATAAATATAAAAATATTTTAATATATGAAAAATTTTAATTGAAATAACTTAGAAATATTTTTAATAATTGTAATGCAAAAAATGTGAAATTATTAATATGAAAAGTTTGGTAATTTTAATGTTAAGGATTACATTTATTAAAATTTTTTTAATATTTACTTTTAATTTAGATATGGAAATTCATTGATAAAAGTCACTGCCAATATAATTTCGCGATGTAGAGAGCATTATCGTCACTTTCATTATTATCAATAATTCAATCGTCGTTTTATCCTACTGAAAACAAAGAAACAAAGCTGAGAAGATATTAAGAGAAAAATAATTGAGCTATTTAGGCTGATAGTTAATTGAAAGTTATTCGAATATAATAGAAATATATTTAAAATATATTTAAAACGATAGAGATATATATTTTTGTCCATTTCGTGCACGCATACGTTCAAAAAGCAACAACGACTGTGAACAATTAATTGCGTAGTGAATAAGCGCGATCTACGTATTTTGAGAACAAAAAAAGCATTCCTCATTTCAAGCACTGAGACTGCATGAAACGCGCGTACTTAATCACATTCGAAACGCAACCAAAAACGTATGTAAATTGTAAAAATGTGAACGAGGACACGTGATCAAACGATTTTCATGTAAAATGACTTCGTGTTACGATTTTGTGTATCTCATTATCAAAAATTGTTTCGTGTTTTTTTTCTTTTTTCTTTTTTTTTTTTTGGAAATGATTTTTTTTATGTTTTCGTTGTTACAGTGTAAATGTTTCTAATTAAAAACGATAAATGTGTATATTTCGAAATTTTCGTCTCTATATACGTTGGTCATTTGAAAAATTTTTAAATGGAATGAGAATATATTTTTTTTAAATTACATTTTTATTTTTTCAAAATATAATTCAACATCAATATAAAAATAATGATGTTCCAAAGTTTGTAACATCGAAAGACTTCAATTGAAATATTCATTCAATAGATATTGATTTATCTATTTGATAAAGAAATTTTTTAAAAAAATTATAGAAATATAAAATTCAAAGAAAACTTGTGTAAAATACAAATTAAATTAAATATCTTATTTTAACTGTTTAAATATCTCATTATATCCCATTTATTTATAGCTAATTCTTTACTGAAAAACAATTTTTACTCGTCAACCCACATCTTTCACAATATGCACGTACGAATCATTCAAAAAAATAAAATTTTCAAAAAACTTTTCACCATATACATTTAATTCTGAAAATATTTCAAATGACCCACGTATGAACTTACGACGAAAGGAAATCCAATATGAATTCAGACAATGAAATTAACGCGTTCGTATATAAGAAATCGCCAGAAACGTTTGGCAGAGCACATGATCGCTTGATCTTCACGTTTATCCATTTATCGTAAGAAAAATCACAGCTTCGAACGGACGATCGATTTGAAAAATACACGCAATCAAGTGTACGCGCGTTAGACACGGTGCGTGAAAGTGCTGAGAAATATAGAACCCTTCACAAATTGACAATATGTGCGCAGAGCTCGTACTGGTGGAAGCACGTGTCGTCGCTCATCGGCGACGTCTTCTAAACACTGAACTCACTCACCCAAAGTTTCTGGACGGATCATGTTTTCGTCGTACTTGTCATCTAAATGTAACCAAATAGCATCATGTTTGAGAATGAACACAGACCAGGGCCCCGATAGATCGGGGCCTTATGTACGAAGCGTTATTTTCTCTCTTTATTCCATTCGAGAACACAGCGGTACAACAATAAAACGGATAATCCCGGACACATTTACGTTTATATATAATTAATTTGAAACAAATGTTTGAGTGTATCTGAGAATATCTGGGTAATTGCAAGAGTGCTTATGCAAACGATTATTTGTTGAAACGTTTTATCATATCCTACTTACTTTCGCTGTGCTCCCTGATTCGAAGCTTCAGGCTGTCTCTGGCTGCTGGAAGGACGATAGTGTCGTTGTGTTTCATCTCCTTCAGTTTGGCCATCGTGTATACTTCGTCCGCTATCACGAGATGTCGTTCCAGGATTTGTTTTGTCTATAATAATACATTTTTACATTGAAATTTATTGAAATGAGAAATATAAAAGGGAGGGAGCAAGTTGTTCTAGGTGTAAAGTTAGGTTAGACAATCATTTTTGATAGTATGAGAAGTAGTTTTAGAATGTTAATTCAAGTTATTATATATAGGAAAGATACACTTACGTGATAGCTGAATTCAGGCATAAAGATCTTTTTCGAAGTGGATGGATAACTGATAGCCGCTACGTGCCAGGCGTAATCACGCGGTGCAAAGTAAGTGAAACGCGTTGACGTGTCGTTCAATTGGTCGTTGAATCCCTGCCGTTGTCCAAGGAAGTAAGTAGAACTTGAAAATAAACAAATACATTGAAAAAATTTGTTTTAGAAATGACAATAGAAATTCGAAAAAAAATTGGAAATTCAAATTCTTCCATTTCCTAACTCTTCGAAGAATATTTTGTCAAATTCAGGATATCACAAAAGCGAGTATTCGCTATATTCCATTTTAATAACAGAAATGATAGTTAACATATTAACCATAATAACTACGTTTGATTGTAGGCCACGTGGTAAGCATTCGATCGTATCCTTGAATAGTATCATTCGTTTGAAACGGTTTATAAATCAAGAGAGAGAAAAAGAGAGAGAGAAAGGCGGGGGCAACGCGTGGTAAAAGGGTGGAAACACAGAGGCAAACAAATCGATCCACTGGATCTTGATATTCGTAAACGCAGAGACGTGACGTATAGGCATAGGTAGGGAAGTAGTGCTATCGATGGCTCGTGGATATCACGGGTACGGGGTGATGGAATGCTGACATCACCATCCATCCACCGCATCGAATAACGATAGCTATCGTATAAAGGGACTAATGGCATTAAAGGTAGCGTATAACCGATCGTTTCCTAACCGATAGCTGTTCAACGATTCCTCGTAACAAGATAGGATACTAGCCGACTATCCTTTCCTCTGCATGACGTCGCATCGTTCGCGATGAATATATCGCTTACTAATAAATTCGTCTAACCAAGCGCTTTGGGATAGGTTGAAGTGAACGAATTGCCGTGCTCGAAGAAAAATACGCGTATCTGTCGCGAATTTAATACTTGAATAATCGATACTCTTTCTCTGTATATTATGTTTTCGTCTCAACAATTATAGAATTTTGGATCAATTTGATAGTTTTACACCTCGTTTATTAGCTAAATATTTGATCTCACTCGCTTTAATAACGTTTTATTAGTGTGGCAAAAGTTTATTTATCGGTTATTGGAATATTATTTAATTGGATATTCCATTATCGATGCATCGATAATTGAAATAACGGGAGAGGAATTAAATCATATGACGGATCTGGCTGCGCAATATTCACAGTTCGAACACGTACTTGGGACCAGTTTCATTAGGGCAATCTAGCAGAATGGATGTTTCGCGCATGAAAAGAATGTTTCTGCATGTGATGCACGAACAAACGTTGGCAACATTTAGAAATCATTAATGTTTTATTTTTTAAACGTTATATAATTTTAGAAAGTTATTGAAATATATGTATCATGAGGATTTCAAACTCCTTAATAGTATTTATAAATATTCTTTATTATGTCAGTTTTCAAATAGATTCTAATTTTTATTTTTGTCTTTATTTCGATTTTTATTCTATCTTGATAAGTGATTGTAAAGGTTCGTTCGTTTTTCTGAATCAGCTGTTTAATCGTTCTTTTGAAATAGAATCCTTGAAATATGTAGAAATAGTATCAATAAGAGATCAAGGGCAATTGCATTCAGTAGAAATAGATCAACGAGTAATTGGTACATAACATTCAATTCACATAAGAGTTCTGTTTATAGTTTCAATCAAGCGAAACGATAGTGATTGGAATGTAGATTCTTCATGCTATTTTAGGAAAATAGGTAAATAATAATTTCATTGGCATGATGCAAAAATTATCAATATCTAAATCAATATCAAGAGGTAATTTTTTAATTATTATTTCCAAATTATTATTTCACTCATCTTAAAAGAATGAATAATTTAATAATATAAATACCAAGTTAAAATTATGTAAAATATTACAAAAATATCAACTCACTTGAGCATAGGATCGGTTTTAAGTTTCTCCAGCACAGTAGTGTATGGAACTCCAAGAACTCTGTCGATGATGTGAATCAATCCATTGGTAGCAGCGATATTTGCGGTAATTATTGTCGCGTTCACGCCACCTCCTTCGACAGTCATTATCTGATTTCCGTTTGGCTCTTGAGCTACGTTGAAATACAGTTTCTTCTTGTCTGCTGCCGTGGGGATCTATAAAAGATCCAAGGGATTTTGAGAAAAATCTTAAAAACGCGTCAAAAAATGCTTCACACACCGAAACAACGATATAGAAAGAGAAAATGAGTTATCCGTTTCTTCGAATAAATCGCGTGATGTGCAGATATTATTAGAAGAATCTATTAATACGCAATATTATATGCAATTTCGTTATAATTATTAATAATTTTTTTGCAATTTTACGAATTATTTTTGCTACTTTTCAAGTTTTACAAAATTTTAAATTGTCCAGGAAAAAAATTATATGAAACATTGTGTGGTTTCCTTTCATCCAAAAATAGGAAAAATATTTTAATAATGAAATTATTCTTGAATAATTCATCCAGAAATTTTCGTATCGATATCGGTTAAAGGATTGATTTATCAATTACAAAAATCAATTTAACAGCGTTCCGCTGTTAAGTCTGAGGAAGCACAGTGGCAAAGTTGTAACTTGGCAAATAATTTATAATTAACAGGAGAGAGTTTGGTGGCGCGATTTTATTCGAAGAACGGTTGAAAGTCAGTCTCGTGCAAACAAGAACTTGTACATATCTAACTGCAAGTTACGACGGAAGATGAGGGCCGAGTTAAAAGTTATGTGCGCTTTCCTACTTGCAACTTTCTCACAGAGAGCAGAAAGAAGAGAATTGGAAGGAATGTTGTTAGACGATAAGTCATCTTCGTTACGTGTGCATTTGTTACTTATGCGGAGGTAAGAAGAAAAAGGTTTAGTTTCAAGGAAAGGTTTACTATTCTAAGATATTTCGTTTACTGCTTTTCCAAGTATTTTGCTTCTTTTCTTAATTCTTATGTTAGTATAGTTGCTACAAAGTTTGAGGTGATTAATATGAAGTTTGAAATTAGGTTTTTTCTTGAGATGAGATGAACATCGAAAATTTTTATCGTGTAAAGGATGAAATACGAATTAGAATAAATTATAACTTAATGTTTTAAGTGGAAGTTAATAAGGAGTTTATGAAATGAGATAGATTAACAAATATTCATTGTAATTTTAATTAAAATGCTCATAGTTTATATAGATATTATAAAAGAATTATTTAAATAATTTTGCAAAATTTTAAACAAAATTTAAACGGTTTTCAAAATACATATTTATTTTTGTTACTTCAATAATTCAATATTTAATAATAATGAATATTCAACAAATTAAATATTATTTCTTTTCGATAATAAACCACAAATAATATCAGGATATCATAAGATGAATCTATTTATAAAGCATTTGTCATGTTAATTCGTACTTGAGGTCATGAAGTTAGTTTAAAGTTGAGAATTTGTTTCCCTCGTCAGAGCTCTGGCATTTTCTCGGAAAGTTTAACAAGAGCGGAAGTGCCAAAGAGAGAAAGAAGTAAAAACCCTCGAGGATGGAGGAGTAAAATAAAGAGTAACAATGAGAAAAAGAAATGAGAAGAGAAAGAGATAGCTTAAAGATAGTGATTTCTTTTCCGGTTGATCCCCTTCTTTATGAATTTGCACTCAACAACGCCATCACAACAACAGTTGTGGTTACTCTTCCGATCTCGAATCGTTGTTAAATTCGTATACAAAAGTGCATCTTACTAGTCGAGATTTCTCAAAGGGCAGATCGAATTTATTCGATGAAAATCCACGCACCCATTCTCCGGCTAAGAATTTTCCTATAAGTTTCTTTCCACCAGAGATCATTAGTTCATCTTTCACTTTTTGTTAGTCAAGCTTCCATGCACTTTCCGCTTCCCTCGTTTCACGTTTCTTTCGTTTCATTCAATTTCATCTCCTTCGCTTCCTTTCTTTTCTCGATGTTTAGTACGCTTAAGAGCGATTCCGCTTCTTTTAATCGAGTTACACACCCACTCGAGGAGTAACGGGGCCTTTTAATCACAGTTCAGCAATTAGAAACTCTATCGGAATGCTGAACACGTTCAACGTTGGAAACGGAGGCGTCGCCTTGCATTCGTGAGTTCTTCTTTCTTACGTATTTTCTTAATAATAAATCTTTTAACGTGTAGGATTGGTCAAAGGAAGCATTGAGAATTCTCTGTCGGAAATGCGATTGATCGTAATCTCATTGTTTCTCTGCGATAGATTTCTTTCCAATGCGATGCGAGGTTTAGTTATGAGTCCTTAGGAATTTTTCTTTCTCATCTTGTAATTCTATCTTTTGCTTTATTTAATTACGAACAATTATGACGTAATTTCGTAAATCTAATTTTCAATTGGAAGGAATAGAAAGCGATTGGAAAATCAGACACCGAAGATATCTTCGAAAGACATCGGACAAAAAAGATATTGTTCGTAAAGATTGTTTCAATATCCTATCTTTTGTAGCATGTGATCCCATTTTTCATCTTTTTCTTTTCAAATAAAACCTGTCTTCGATAAGAAACAGAGTTCCTCTTAATTGGCAATTAGCTAAGTAAAAAACGATATCGAACGATGGGGATGTTATTGATCGAGATAATTTATAGTATCAAAGAAAATTTTCTTTTAAAAAATTTACTTTATATCCATCTAATGATACAAATCAAAATTTCGTGCGCAAGAAATAATAATCGAGAATTTCAAAGTGAAGGGAAAATTTAATTCATTTAATTATCAGAGAAAATGCAAATTTTCTTCGTTTTAATAATATCTCACAAATTATTTAATTTCGTCGAAAATCAAATCTAAAAAAAAGAACAAGATTCAATTAAAGGTCATATAATACATCCCCCAATTATACGATTGCTCAATTAAAGTGGTAAAAGACCTCTTAAATATCTGTTGAAACATAACACGAACGAAACACCACGAAATCACTAATTTCGCCATTACGCAGGACCAAGCAGCTGCACGGCAACTGCCATTTATCGCTTCCAAACGAATGGCGATTCAACAGCGGAATTGTATTTCGCGGAATGACGTCGGGAATAAATTAATTGCGACAACGTGCGCGTGGTGTGTGACTGCGGGGGGGAAGGAAAAAAAAAAGAAGTCGTTTTATCTCGAATATGGCCCGGTTACGAAACTTTTGGTGTTTCTCCTCCGCGGTTGTTTTATCTTCGCATCGGAGGTTGGAGCCACGCGTCATAAAGCAGAAGAGCGGCGTAAAACATATCCGCGCGATAAATTGGCGCAAAAGTAGTGTCGTTTAATGCAAATAGGTCGAGCTACGTGATAAAACGGGGAATATTTTGGCTAACCATACCGTGCGAAGCGATTAAAAAGCGAGACAACGACGCGTCGTAAATTATTCTTATTAGCTCGTTCGTTTTTAATGCACGATTGTCTCTTTATTTTCTTTCTCGATCGATTTAATGATTCTGAATGATGTTTGGATTATTCTCATTATTCGTTATTCGTGATGTGCAAGTAATAAATGACATTTATGAAATGTAAATATATATCATTGTACGAATCTTAAGGTTAAAATTTATTAAAATAAATGTAAATTCTCATTTAGATGGGGGGTAAGTTTCTGAATTATAAGATTTTATTTTAATACGCGTCAAAGGAAAATTTCAATTGTATAACGATTGTAATTTACATTTGCATTGTTGTTCCATTTAACGATTAAAATTAAAATTTCCATATGACGTGACATTCGTGACATCCGAATGGGATAGGTTCTCTGGGTTACATGTTTCGATATAAGTCTCGATATCTCTAGCTTAATTAGCGGCTGTCAATTTTGATCCGTGAATGCAATTACCCGAAATCACCGATATAACTAATTACGCTTGAATATCCATGCCTCTATGACTCGATACGCTGATACGGAACGCTGCCTTTAATTATATCCTCCGCCTGTTCATAAATTAACATTCTATCGGCGCGTATAAAGGTTTGATTTTCGTTCTACGATCAATCGATTGAATTGTTACGCGATTGATGACAATGGTGCAGGATATCATATGGATTGGACGCGGATAATTTTTGGTAATAATTGCAAGCGTATAATTATAAACTTTATATTTTCAAAAATTATAGAAGAAAATGAACGGATTAGCAATTACGTGTTTTTCGTAATCACGCTTTCATTAAAACTTCATATATATCAAAATTCATCTGATTCATCGAACTAGAAAACAATAAGTTTATATTTTAATCAGAGTCGATATGTAGAATTTTTTTAATGGAAAATTTAATGATACAAATCATTCAAAGTATCGATCGAAATACGTAACGAGTTCTTAATAGAATATCACAATTTCTCCAAATAATAATTCTTAAAGACATTTGTCTTAATAATTTTTATCAATCATAAATATGGAGTTAATACTAGCGAACGAAACGAAGCTCGTCGATGTAAAGCAATATATCATTCGATAATGGAATACGTAAAAATTAAACGAAAAAGTTTTATTGACAGGATGACCTAAATAGCATCGAAAATTAATCCATCAGTTATCAAAAAGCGATAAGAAAGATTTTCACAAAATGGAAGGGGGATACGCGAAATAATTTACGAATGGATTACGATAAAAGTTAAAACAGGCGCACTAATATTCACTTGCTAATTGTCGATTATTAAACAACATTGAACGGGCCGATATTTATTAGCACGAGTTGTCTCTTTCAATATTGACTTCAGTAGCTTTCGTTTATCATCTTTATACGTATTAATTATTGTAAACAATTCGGTAAATCGTTCTAATCGAAAATAACGATTTATAAAGATTTCCGTCACGTTAAATTTCACGTACAATTCGGTGAATGAAATTTCGTATAACCGATTGAACTGTTAAATTGTAAATATTTTAATTAGGCGAGGGTGTTTTAGATTAGAGGCAATTTTAATTATTTTTCTAGTTCGATGAATCAGATGAATTTTGATATATATTCGTGAAAATGAAGTGATGAAAATAAATTAATAGTTTAATGAAATTATAATATTAATCATAAACAATGATTCTAAAGTATTTTAGTTTCTAATAAATAATGTAATAAATAATATGTACATATAACAATAATACATCGTGTATTAACATTTTAAGAAATATATCACTTATAAGTATCTCAAGGGTAAAATTACAATTTGAATTGTATTTTTCGCGGTATTTTTCATCCGTTTATTATACCAACGAAGGCACAATTTGTCATCCCGGATTTGCAAAATGCTTCTGCATCGCCCTATAAATTTGCCATGTAAACACACGTGTAAACGAACGGAAAATTTGCGAACGATCCGCAATGAAAGGAATAAAGTCGCTTGAATTTATTCAAACAGAAAAAAGAGCGTATGAATTATTCTTTTATACGATTCCGTTAAAGATGTATCGCTTTAATTAAACGATATCCTGTTCCTTTCTTCTTTTATCTCGTTTCTCCATTTATCTCGGATCGAAAGTATTTTCTCGGATGTTTGAGAAAAACACGTATTATTGAATTGTATGAAATATAAACATTTATTAATTGCACGTTAAAATGTTTTTTTGCTTAATACGAACAATATTTTTTTTTTTCATTTTTGTAAGATTAGATGTTAGTTTAGAAAATTTTATGAGGCATTGCGAGCTCTTTATTTTATTTTATTTTATTTCATCGCACAACGAGAACTTTGATTTATTATTACGTTAAATTATTTAAATGATTCAAAAAAGGAAAAGGGATTTAATTAAAGTTAACTGTTCCGTATCAAGAGCATGGACACAAAATTAAATAAATAATTGTTTCAGAGAGAGATTAATTTATAAATGCTCTTATAGAAGCTATAACTTGCTCTTTTAATAAAATAAAAATTTTAAATTCTAGAGAAAGAGTTTCCGCATTAACTTTTCAAAAATAAGATTATCGTGTAATTCGTGTATTATAAATTATCCGAAAAAAAGTTACGAGAATATTAAACTCAAAAATATGTTGAAACTTGGAAACTTCGAAACGTTTCTTCTACATCTTCCATTTTCATAAAGTCTCTGAGAAACTTGTTTCATAAGCGCATATCCGGGGGAAACCGTGTCTCCGTCATTCTTTACTTATTCCACTCGTAATGGAAGCCACAGAAACATTCAGTCAATAATGTCTGAAACCTACACAATCTTCTCAGAGAATTGAGAACATGAATTCGAAACTGCTCGTATAATGCAAAGTACTTAAAATACTTTAATAAATAGTATTATTGGTAGCTAAATTTAATAAGTAGAATTTAGATTATTGTTATTGTTATTGTTATACATACATATTCCTTGCACATCTATTGGAATTTTTTTTTATCATAAATGTTAAAATAATATTATGATATTGTTACAGGAAATTATTATTAATAATTATTCGTATAATTTTTTTTAACGAATGTAGTTTCAATGTACGACACATTTGATAACACATTGCATAACTCGAATAAAAGTTTGTAAAAATAACGATGAAATGAAAGTTTGCAGAGTTCAATAAGAAGACTAAGTCGGATTAATTGTAAGTAGGTTGAAAGCTAAAAGTTTGACAACAGTCTTCTAATAATCAGTCATAACAACATAGGCTAGTTCGGTCTTCTCAAAGCTTCTTCAAAGTCGACCGAGAACATCTGTTAGTTTCCCGATTGTACATTATCACTCAATCAGTACGAACAAACATTTTGATAGAATAGGAAAAAACTTTATTCTTTCTTTTTTTCTATTTTGTAATGACAAGAAATTAATGACAGAATTTAATATAGTTTAACGTAACTCTGTGAATGTTAATAATTTAATAATAATTCGTAAAAATTTTTTAAAAGAAAAGGAATATTAAATAAAATATAGGTACGTGGATCGAGAAAAATAATTTGTCTCTCTTTTTAATTATCAATTCAATCTCAAAAATGAATAATTGTAAAAGTACAGTAAAAGCAATTAAAACAACAATAATAACAAAAAAAATGTAACCAACGATTCAAAATAATGTAACCATTATTAGAATAAAAAAAACCGTAAAATAAATTTCGATAAAAGATATTTCTATTTACACGATTGATATTAATGATAATAATAATTTTATAAGAAGTGGTTTTAAATTGGGATCAATACTTGGGTGAAATCAAAAGCGAATACGAAGAGAAAGAGAAAGATGCAGAGAAAGTTCATGAATACTTGAAGAAATACTGAAAGATTGATGAATGTGTAATTACCCCATATTGTGACTTCCCCCATAGTGGTTTCTTCAAACAAAATCAGAAAACAGAAAAACATTGTGTTAATCAACTTGTAATTCCGTATGTGTGTAATCGATTTCAACATGAAAATGTATTGAGTATCAGTATTTTAAAAAGCAATGATCTATTTGATAGATGGTAAATGAAAATGAACAAATAACATGACAATATTCTCTTCTATATTCAATCTTAAAAATTGAACAATGAATTTTAAAATTGCAGAAAGTTTCGATTCGCTTCTTATTACTATTCAAAGAAATTATATATAAAGAAAATCCATCATCACTGATTATATTCGAAACTTTTAAAAATTTCGGAATTTTTATAATAATAATTTATCGAAAATATTATAATAATTTTCATGCGTTCTCCAAATTAATTTCAATCTTAATATAACTTCGAACTTAAATATAACTTGAAAAGTAATAAAACTTCTAAGATCATCCGAAAAATCCTAATGTTCTGATATCACGAAGGTCTTCTAAATCTCTTTGCTCGAGCTTTTAGATCACGAATACTTTAGGGCCCTAAAGACCATTAGGACAATTGAGATTTCTTGAACTACTGCAATTTAAAGTATCGGCGATATTACTTTCTTCCAAGATTTCCAAGACTACCAACATTATCAATCTATTCAAACTTTTTAAGCTTAAAAATTTTTTCAAGTAATTGAAATATTATTATCATATATCCTTTATGAAGTCATAACTTTTAAATTCATTTTTCCATTCGTGATAACACAATTACAATTCTTCTATTTTCTAACAAATCCAAAATTATAATTCCCAAACTTGTGATTTTTCAACAAATTTACAAAATTCTCGTAATTTCTAAAAGTTTCACATTAACTTTTAATATTCTTATATTTATACATTCATGTCTTTTAATCATGAATTTTGAAGTCTAGAATATTCGATATTAAAATAAGAAGCGATTCGAAACTTTCATTGGTGGGGTTTCATTTACAGTAAGTTCACGTTGAAGTTATACAAGGATCTTTTATCAAAAATTTGCAAAAATAAAGTCACTCACCTGGTTGACGCTCTTGTTCTTGATCTTTTCGATTGGCAATCGATCCTTGACGTAATGTAGATTCAGCATCTCCTTGACACGTTCCTTGTCCTGCAATATCTTCTGGACGCCAGGTTCCTCGAAGGCCGCGTTGCTGGGCGCAAACAGCGTGACATCACGCAGATGGCTTATAGTGCTCATGATGTCTCCTCCGAAATCTCGGATTATCTCGTAAAATTTGTACACAGGTCCATCCCTTTTTTCCTAGACGTCGAGAAAAAATTTATGTTTATCGGTAATCGACTGAGTGTGAACATATATATTCTACTTACACGGGATTGTTAATAAAGAAATAAAGAAAAATAGAAGAAAATGAAAATTAAGATACGTAAATAAAATAAAAGGATCTTATTGTTGTTTTGGTTCCACGAAATTTGCAAAGTTTGCCCGTTTTGCTTCATTTCTTTTTACTGTTATTCAATTTTTCTCTTTTATTAGGAAATTTTCTTTCGTTAATTTTCAATAATAAAATATATCTCACTGATTTCAATATTCTGTTTTCGAGATTCTGTTTACGTGAAATTGAATTAGCGCGTTAATTAAGACTTTCTATAATTATTAATAAAATTTTTTGATACTCGATTTGATAAAAATTAACAATTGATTGCATTAGAGGAAAGACTGGATTCAAATCCAATCATGATTAAATTTCCCTGATCAAACGGTATATTTGAAAACAAAAGTCCTCGCTTCTTCGCGATTGAATAGAAAAATATCTCTCGTTTAAACTATTTCTTTGTTGGAACGTTGAATTAAAAGCAATCGCATTTTTTCCCTTCCCTTGTCGTGCATTGAATTTCACGGTTCTGGATAGCTTACAAAGCGAAACGGGTGTAATTAACTTCGCATATTTCGTTTCGCGGAAGAATGACAAATAAAATTTACTCGAGGGGTGAAACGCAAGGAGGAGAGGTATTGAAATGCGAAAACAACGCTTCAAATTGGCGTGGAATGGATATAATAATTCACGTTCTTCTTTAAACGTAGAAAAGATAAAAAAGAAAAAAGAGGAAAAAAAGCGTAGGGGATGAAAGGAAAAGAGAATAAAAGGAATATCGGAATGAGTTTGAAGACATGTTTGCGGAAATAGTAAAGTTAATTGAAAGTCATTGTCGGTAGAATCGTACCGAGTTACGAGGCAATTTCGAAGACACAATTTCGGCTTGGATTTTATTGAACGGATCAAATTTAATAAACGCTATGCGGGATGATTCACGCGATTATATCAGGTCATATCTCTTCATTTATTCAAACGGGGGGAAAGGGGGAGAAACGTTGGAAAAAGCTGATTTAATTTCCTCTGATATACGCGATACATCTCGTATAGTTGAAAAGGATCGTGTTTCGGGCTTTCGTTAAAAATGGACAAGGAAATACCTCGAATTATATTATGAAAACTGTAATTCCTTCGTCGCAAATTAATTATTTATTTCGTGAAAATTATAAAATTAATATTCTCCAAAATTATGTCGGAACATATCGATAAATAATTTCTTTTGCTATATTCTCGAACGAGAATTAACGTGAAATAATCACGAATGAGAATTCAATTACCCGAATCCTAAATTTTTTCTCTTCAGATTCGTCTTTCAAATCCATGAAAATTCTAATTTTCGTGATTTTTGTCAATTTCAAATTTCCCCTCGTTCACCGTCCGTCAAATCAATTTTCTCCATCATTTTCTGAATCATTATCACAACGTGATATCAGACCATTAAACCGATAACGTTCACCTATTTTTCCCGCTTTCACCGTTCGAAGAGTTACGACCTGTCGCGCGTAAATCAGCCCGCGCTATCTCTGGAAAGACGGCGTTTACGTTTCGATGCGACGCGTCTTTCGCGATCAAACGAGCTTAGTATACGCGTTCGTGCGTGCACGCGACTCGTCGTGCCGATAGAACGTTAATTCTCGACCCGAGACGCGGATAACCCTTTTCGCCGTGGATCAAAGATATCCCGCTAATTGATCGTCGATTCGAGACACGAGGAGCCGCGGAACGGAAACGAACGTCGCTGCTTAAGGCGTCGCCGTCACTGTCGACACATCGCCGCTGTCTTCCTCTCCTCTGTCTCTTTGTCAATGGTCGTTTCACTTTGAGCAGGGAAGGAAACGTCGGATAATTAACACTGATTGGTAGTCGATGAACTGGTGTTCCGCGTTCTTTCCTCGTTTCTCGGTGTTCATCGATTTGGGGATATTTTAGGGCTTTGCGCGGATGAAATGATGCGACGTCGTACGGATATTGCACTAGTTTCGATAATTTTAGATTAATAATTTAATGGAGCGTATGATCTCGATTTTATTGTTATCGCGATAACTTATGGATACAATAAAGGGGATCTTCATATCTGAAGATATTATGGTAGTTTATAGAGGAGAGGAGAAGATTTTATATCGAAGGGAAGGAAAATTATTAGGCGTTTCAGATATTTAGTAGAGATCGTTTTGTTAAAAAGGTTTCTGTGAACGATTTTTATTATAAATTTCTAGGATATGAACGCAATTTTTTTTTTCTAAACGATTTGAAATTATTTATTATTAATAAAAATTATTGATTCAAAATTACTTTTGATATATGGAAATTTTTCTTATAAGAGTATTTAATTTTTCTGTGGAAATGTTCGTGGACGTGCATTAATATTGCAAACATGTGCAAAATCGCAAACGATGTTGCATCGTTTTGTCCTAGTATTAGGATTTATGGAGAAAGAAAATGAGGGAGGAGAGAAAGATTTAGTAGCATGAAAAAGTATCTAATAGTTTCTTCGCTGGAAACAAATGAAGGTTATATTCAGAAATTGTGTTACATGAATTCATTTTTCTTTTAATTTTATGACTAAAAATATCAATAGATCGTGGATTTTTATGCAAATATTTTTTATATTACATGTGATTTGCATATTTATATAAATCATATAAATATACGATATCAATCAAACTCGAATCCATCGATTAAAGATCCAATTTACTTCAATTAAAAAGTTTCTTAAGTCAGTTCAAAATTTCCAATATAATGTTTTTTTTTTTTTTAGAAAATATGACTGTTCCTTATATCTTTTCCTATGATATTTAATAATTGTACAATGCAGCTTGATCTTCATTATCAATTGAAAGAAATCTTTCAATTAATCTTCACTGTCTCAACGAAAAATTTCAGTCTTTTTCATACTACTATCTCCAGACATAAAGAATTACATTATTTCAATAGTTTATTTTTCTTCAATACAGGTCAGCTTAAAAAAACATTTAATTTAGATAATTTAATCCAATAATTTCTTTTGTTATATTTATATAGAAATGAAAGAAATTAAGGAAAATGTTGATTATCAGTTTGGTTATTGATTTAGTTTATAATCTATAACATGAAATTTTGAGAGATTAAATTTCAAATTTTGGACATCTTTTAGTTAAATGAATCATGTCTACTTAAGGAAGGAGTTAGGGAGGATCATCCCATTCGATATGGTTCTTATAATCGGCTGGCTTAAATACTTGATAATTTAGTGCTTTGGTTAAGTGTTTAATCCTTTTAAAGGATAAATTTCATTAGCTGTTATTTATAGTAGGATCGATTAACGATATTTCACGTACGTGCGTAATTCGTAGTTGAATTGAACATTCGAAATAATTCTTTGAATAAATATATGTATCGAATGCATGAAATAAATTTTGAGTAATTAAAAAATATGAATGTTATTAATATATTGTACGTTATAGAATTCGAAATTATGGTAGTTAATGAAATATATATTCGGTTTCTAATCTTTATCCTCGAAATTATGTATAAGATATCTATTATCATTAATAATTGAAAAATTATTTATCGATGTATACACGAATTCAACGATTGCAAATTAACTAAATGAAATACTCTATTAACGATTTATTATTTCGCGTTAAATATAAATTTTATATTACGCGAATCATTTATACAAATTCAAGGTAACATTTCCATAAAATGAATGAACAATTAACAAATTCGTGTGATAAATCATATTTAAAAATTAATCGAGAAATTCATACAGTTTAATTATTGAATCGTACATAATTTAGAAAAACTTATTAATAGATAAATCTTCTAACATAATCCTCTATATTTTTTTTCATTTTAAAATGGAAAAAAATATATTTTTGAATTAATATTTGATTTCCTACCATGAATTTCTTATTACTTCTTATAGATCATTTTTAAGAATTTCCAGACGTGTAGATCTACATGTATGAAAGTTTTAATATTCAATATTGCATTTAGATTCGTGAAACCCAAAATGTATATTAATACTTCTTCCGACTTCCTCCTTAAACCGGATGATTCATTTAGCTGGCCTGTACTCTTTCTTCTTCCATTTATTACCGTTTTGTGTAAGTTTGACGGTATTTCATCCGACAGGAAAGGAAAGATTAAATCAAACATCCATGATATAACGGATAAACAATATTGACATAGGATTCAGGGAATAACAAAAGAGAATCGAGTGGTTTGCTTGGCAGACAGAGAGGATTCGTCAAATCAACATTGACGAGCGGTATAATTTTAATAATAATACTACTCTACGTCTAAAATTTCTACGGTGAAAATAAACAAAAAACTAAAGAACCTGTTGCAAACAATCTTTTGATTCGAAACGTAAAAGTTGGGACAAAGAAAACGGAGAAATTGGCTCTTCGAAATTAATTAAATTTACCAATCGTTCCAAAGGATTATCGTTCTGCTCAGATTAACAAATTGATTTTATTAAGCCAAGAAGATATTGGTCGTTGATTTAGGAGAGTATAAATCATTGAAATTACTTTTAATTTCGATCAGATTATATTGTAAACTGATTTAATAATAGTAAATAATAGTAAGTAATTTGATTAAAGCTTGATTAAAATCTATAGAGAACATTGCCCCTTTCAATTAACTAATTAGCAGCTATAGAGTTTTGGTGTTTCCCGTTTAATTTTTCGTGCTTTGACTTCAACACCATTAAATTACATCGGACTCTATTATTACTTCTTCGTTCCGATAATATTCAAATAAGCAATACAATCTAATTTACTTTATTTCCTTTTCATTAGATTTTAAATCTTTGAGCATTTTATTATGTTAATTTTTTAATCTTCTTGGCTTATTATCTTGTATCTTTATATTTATTCTCAATTTGTATTACCACAATATTTCAAATTAATTATTTTAAATATTTAATTTCATTTTATATTTTATACATGACAAACTATTAATAATTATCATCGTTAAAACATAAAATACAAATTAAATTAAATTAAACTTTCTAACCATCCGTGATCCAAAGTACCGACTATTAAATAATCAATCTAGCAGAACGAGACATCCTAACCTCACTTTTCTCGTAGGCGATTATAGTGTAATCGCAGTTGCTCTACGAAATTAATTCAGAAATTCAAATTGCACGGTAAGCACAGTCGGTTTGCGGAAAATATTATTAAAATTATTATTATAAAAATTATTTTTATCCATTAAAAGATAATTCGAATCCTTTATTCATCTTCTCGATCGAAATTTAACAAAGGATCTTGCAATGTATTCGAAGACAACGGTTAAGATTACTCGAGATCTTCAAATGTAAATCCACTTAATCCTCCCAGAGAAATTTAACACTGTTCCAACATTGCAACCATGGTATGATATAATATACCTTGTTGCCAACATTACTGGTGAAATATTTTCGAAAATATGGTTTATACCTAAAAGCTTCGAGCAATCCTAACCCTATAATAATTCTGAGCTTACTTAAAATCTTGGAATTTTAATATAATAGGCATAAATGTGTTGTTACAGAGTATCTTGAGGTTGTTCGATTCTCCTCCGACTGTTCTTACAGACAATAATTAACTCCTCCAAATTTTTTCAGAGAAATCAACATAAGCTTTACACGACTATAAATGTAATCGATCATTTTTGCAATGCAAGGTACGCGTTTAATAATTAATAATAATAAACAAGAGAGTCTTTTTTTTTTGGTGTCGTGTGTATTCGGTAGTCGTTGATGAGTTCATTTAATAAGTACTTACGATGCCCTATACGACATGCAGAGTCCAATAGAGACATGCAAAGCACCACAGAATAACATCATTGAATCAATATAAGAGTAATAAACACATGTACACAATTGATAGAGAAAATTTGAATCGGCTATTAAAATTTCTTTTCTCTATTTCTTTTTTTTTTTTTTNTTTTTTTTTTTCTATCTTTACGTTTTACTTTTCCATTTTCTTTGGAAATATTATATCGTTTACGTTGTGTTTCTTCCTTCGAAGACAGTGAATATACGTTTTGATATACGTTTGACGTCCCTTTTGTTTGGATAGAGGCTCGTTTATGGACGTTAACGCGTTCAATCTGGCGTGGATTAGCCGGAAGTTGAACGTTATTCACCGTGGAATAACAAATATTTCATTTTTAGGGTGTTTTCTAAATTTGAAGCGGTGTACGTCTAAATTAAATGTCGATTCGAGCGTTCAACAGTGATTACACTACCAAAATTGCATTATAACATCGTAATCGTAATTTAATAAGCAAACGTAAATTAAATAAATTCGAGTGTATTGATTCGAGTATCTTGTAATATATCTAAGAGCGTCTAAAAACTTCCAGTCTCGTTCATTCGTGATCCCAAAGAATACTGTACCTTGTGTAAACCATCGAGAATTTCAGTCATCGCTTAAATAAACTGTAATCGATCACTTAAATCAAACATATCAATCCAAACAAAAAACAAAAAGAATTTTATCCTTCAACATAGCGGAATTAAATGTACACGCCGGTTTGAACGCGTTAAAAAATAAAACTAGAAAGAAAAACACACAAAGAAACTAACAAACGTTAAATATTGTCGATTAAATCAAATTAAAAAGAAAAAAAAAATCAATCGCAACTTAAATATAGAAAAATCCCTCTTGTTCCTCAGAAGAAGAGAGGCCGTTGAATTATCAACGACATCCGGCGAATAATTGAAATTTTAATCGAATCGTTCGTTGCGTCGATTTCCAGCATGTTCACGACACGGTAAACGAACAAAAAGTGGGGGGCTAAAAAATAAAAAAAAAAAAAAAAGAAATAGAAAAAAAAAAGAAAAAGGGACATTGGAAAGATAGCGAACGACGAGGGGTTACATGTGTAATTTGCTCCAGGGTTCTTTTGTCTCGTTTCACTATGGAAGAACACCGCATGTTAATATCGGTGTAATAGAGATCGGACACGTGGCCGATAGTAATTTAATATCAGCATGCAATTAAACGGTCGGCTGCCGGCAATCGTGCCGATGAAAATCGTTATCGTGATAATAACCGGCGCGATTAAATAGATTACTTCGGTTGTGCTTAGCTCGTGACGACGGGAATCGGCTAATATCGGTCCTGAGCTCTTGAAAATTACAGAAACGTCTGGTTGGAGAATTTTTTTTTTTTAATTTTTTTTTTTTTTTTTTTTTTTAGAATTACGCGTTGTTTGAATTACGCGCGCTTATCGAACTGCGATTACTCACGAGTGTGGGCCACGGTTGTGCCTCGTATAACGCACAGTCGGTGGAAGAGATATGGCTGTGCCGTAAATTTAGCGAGGCGTGAACAAAGATACGCGTAAGTGGTCGAGATAAATTTAAAAAAAGGAAATAACATGGGGGTGTGGAAGTTATTTTATATTTTCTTGCGTTGTTGTAGATGTATAAAGTTTTCAAATAAAATTTTATTTAGGGGGAATAGAAATAGGAAGTTATGTTATACAATAAGATTTCTTTGAAGTTAAATTGTGATTGAAAACGATTATTTCTGGCGGAGAAGAAATAGATTTATGAAAAAAAAGTTTAGAAATATTCCTCCTCAGAATAAAAAAAATACAAGTACTCTACTTATCTGTAAGATATTTAAATGTTATTTAATATTTTTTTTCTTCAAATCAATAGTATTTTACAGACAATCATATTTATATTCTCCAAAAATTCACTAAATCGTGTAACCCCTCAAACATCGTTCATAAATCACGTTCGATTAAAATAATAAATAAAACTCAAATTCGCGTTAAAAAATTATAAAAAAAAATCGAATAATTATTAATCAGAAATCGAACTGAATATTCTTTCATTAAAAATTTAACTTCTGTAAGAAATCGATGAGAAATTAAATAATATTCAACTACACTACATTCTAAAATCGGTTCGATCACCACAAGATGTCTTCCTGTGTGTACTGTTCTATCATTTTTTTTGTTTTTTTTTTTACATCTTGCGATCGGAGGTTCATCACCCCAATGAAAAAAGTCCTGTAAACAGTTTTATATCGTATAAAAAAATATGATTACTTCGAGGATCACATCGCAACCGTTCGAACGAGATCGGCCGAGCGACGCAGTGATCAATCTTCTCGATAAGATCTCTCGAAAAATTTTTCGCGTTACTTGCATACCCACGCGTGCAACTAGAGACTCGTTCCAACATACAATATCCGGTTTGGATTTAAAGCGAGCAACCGTGGCCGGAAAACGAATCTGAGACGCGAATCGGCCGGAAAAACGTTTTAACTCGATGAAATCGCGCCACGAGCGAGTTTTTTCCCCTCTTTTCCTCGATCTTTTCACCTTTCAACGGATCTCGACCGTTGGAAGGAACCAGAAGTTGACGAGTTCTCGAGAAACGAACTCTCGAGAGAACGCGGTTATCGCGAACGTTCAATGGTAACAAGATGGCGCGTCGATCGGCCGACGTTTTTCGTATTATTCCCTACAGATTGCGCTTTTCTATGTCAAGAAAACGTCACGAATGTGATCTCGAAATGACGTAAGTTTTCGACGAGTTTTTTTTTTTTTTCATCTTTTTCTTTTCATTTTTTTTTTATTGAATGAATTTAAAAATAGAATTAATTACTACGAATTATATAACGTACTTTATGATAATAGTCTTACGTAGTCTATATTTAGCGATAGATTAGGCGTGATGAGATGATTCAAAAAAGGTAATGAATGGCAACAGCGTTCATGATATCGAATGCACTGATTCATGTCTCATGATATATCGTGGCTAATGCCGTTCTGTGAATGTCACGAGGGCTATGCTTCTCTATTCATGATTGTGTCGGCGGACAATCTCCGCGATTCGTCGATCAAACACATCGGTGTACCGGTGCTCTCGTCCTTGGCAACATGCGACATTCAAAGGGAGCTAACAGTCAGTAGCTAGCAGTGCAACGTGCAGTGCGTATTCTCGCTAGACACTGGCGATTTACAAGGAAGATTTTCATTCGTTCGTGTTCACTCCTCGAATTTTTTCTTATACTTTTATATCTGATGTAACTCGTTCGAAGCGATAACTGGTCAAAAATCCGAGAACACGTGGGTGTTGTGTTAAATTAAAAATTCTAGAGGATGCGGTGTACCGTGAGTGTAAGATCAATTAGCGTTGCAGCTAGAAATTATTCTTTCTTTAAAAAAATTTTAAAAAATTGGAAAATCATATTTTTATGTGTGGTGGTTTACGATCCCTTAAAAACTATAATCGAGAGAAATTTCTTTAGAATAATAATTTGTTGTAGGAATTTCACTCGTGTTAGTCTTTAAAGTTATAATTTCGTTAGGTATATTCATTTTCACTAAAGCTACTTTAGAAATAAAAGTAAATGATAAAAAGTTTAAAAATTAACATTACGACTTCTTGCTTCAAATAATTATAATAATACAAAATAAAAAATATATTTATTTTAGCAATATAAAGAAGCAACGCTCTAGACTATCTTACACGATATATATACAAAAATAGTAGTATGATGAAATTACAAAATAAATTGTTATTCAATAAGGAGGATGTAATTTCAAGCGTTTTATATTGCTGCTACAGTTTGGAAATAGGACAAACTATCTATACAAATGCATTACGCGATTTTATTTTAAAAAATAGCTGATAATTGAAAATATCGTTTTCTAGACAAAAAAAGATTTCCACAAATGTCGATAGTAAATAGTAGAAGGCAATGTACAAAGCGCGTGAGTAAAAGAAAGGGGAGAGAATAATGTGAGAAAAGTCTCTTTCAGCGAAGCGGAACTATTGGACTTTCCATTTCATCGATCAGCTAGATCGAAACTCATTCTTTCATCTTGGATCATACGTAATACATATCTTAACCACTAATCTTCCTTGCAAGAAACCACGGTGCATTTCTCAGGCAATAGCTAAGAATTCATTCGAGCGCTGTTTCCAAATCATCAAAAAGATATATCGAACAAAATGGCCAATTCTCAACATTCTCATCATCGCTATCTATAACACACTCGTTCTAAACTAGAATCAGTGAAGCAGTGTTTCTAAAATCTCGTTTTTTCTTCGTATTAATAATATAATTATATTTATTATTCGCATTGGATTTTTTTCTATACAATTTTTCGTTTTACTAATATTTTAAACATAAGTAAGTTTCTTAAGTTTCACATTTTTAAAGAAAAATTTATAAAATCGATTGTTTTGATGCAAAGAATCGCAAAATGTCTAGTGATATCTTAGTTATTTAATCACACTTCAATCGATCCACCAAATTTCCAAAAATAAAGAATCAAAATTGTTCAGCATTCTTCTCCACAAATTTCAATCTTGCTTAATCGTAAAAAAAATTCAATCAACACGATGATACATATTTGCATAATTTAATGAACGAAGTATTTTAAATCCATTATAAACGTATCGAACGTTTTCCTATTCAAAAATGAAAAATAGTAAGAAGTTAAAAAAAAAAAAAAAAAAAAAAATGAAATGAGAGAAAAGAAAGAAGAGAGAGAGAGGAAGGAACATATACAAGAGCACAGGGCCCGACACGATTACTAAAGGAACTTTTTTTCGGTGTATCGAGAAAGCGGCTAACGGCCGCAGAATGAACAGCTGCATCGAAATGAGATTTTTTCCCCGAGGCTTTTAAGCCACCCTTTTTCGCGGCAAGCAATAAAGCCCCGCCGCTTCGTCACTCTGAAAACGCTTCTCTATCTTCTCCCACGAACCGATTTTCCTCCGTGCCCCGTTTCTTCTTTCCCTTTCGCCTACCGT